GTAAGGCAATAATGGCGCTGAGTCAATAATTTCACTAAGTTTGAGTCTGCTTAGTCCTAAAGAAGCCTGGCTACCTACGGGCACTCACCTTGCAAACTGTTCACCAGCACACAGACACCCTGAAGCGACGTGCTCCTGAAGAGGTTGACTGCTTTTCTTTACTGACATGAAAACATCCTCGAGTTCCCAAAGCACACTTCACGAGTCCGTCCACCACAGCGCTTCCGCGCCTACCCTCCAGCCTGGAGTGGGCGGCAAAGGGACAGGGACGTCCTTCAGGGCTGGTATCCGGGCTGCCCCGCCCCGCACACACACCGGCTGCTGCCATCTCCTCCCGGCCACCCGTACGGTCCCGTGGCCCGTCAGTCACTTCACCCCCCACCCTCCTAGGGGCCGAAGCCCACAAGGGCCCGTCCCACTCTGCCCGGCCCCACTCACCTCACTCCTTCGCCCGACACAGGCTCACTGGGACGCGCCTCCCGCCAGCGAAGCCTCGGCTAGCGCTGAGTGCACCGCCCCTTTGTGACGCGCAGACCAATCAGGAGCCTGTGCTCACGTTGCCCTTCAATTAGCGGAGTCCGCCACTAAAGCCCGCGGTTGCTGGGACGCGAAGGTAGCGGGAGCCCAACGGGGCGTCGGTTGAAAATGCCCGGATGTGGCGTCGGTGTCTAGCAACGGAGGACGCAGCCTGCACTGCCAGGCATGGCGGAGTCCCTGCATGCTGTGCGCCCAGCGCCCTTCTAGACCCTACACTCCAGGCCTCATACACTCCCTTCCCTGTACTGCAGTCCGCACCGCTCCGCCTTCCTGGCCTCACAGGGAAAGCAGACGCACCGCGCGGCTGGAGACCTGGCGATGAGCTCCAAGCAGTCCCCGATCGTCGGGGGTGGGGTGGGTAAGGGCGGCGTCGAAGACTGTACCGCTTGCCCGCTCTGGGGTGCCGGCTGCCCCGCTGCGGCGTGGACGGCCCGGGCCCGTGATCCCACCTCTGCGGTGCACGGCCCTCCTTACCACGGGACTCAGGCAGAAGCCTGGTCCTGTACCCTGAGCCACCTCAGGCTCCTCCTAGAACCCCGAGGGCTGGCAGCACATTTTTCTCCTTGGTGCTCAGAGCCTGGAAGCGCCTGGGTGCAACCTACAAAACTGAACGTCCCAGTCTGGGCTTTAGAATTTTGTCTTGGCTCCAGTCTAACTGACCGAGTCATTGTTAGCATCACCTGCTACCACCATTGTTCAAGTGCCAGATAGTTTACAAGGGTCTTTAGATCCTCTCTCCCCTTCACCATCCTGCAAGGTTGGTACAGAACTGAACCCTCATCTGACAAAGCTGGAAACAGAAGCTAAGGAAGG